TTTAAATTTTCATTTTTAATGTAAGATGTTTGGGATTAAAAATTAAAAATTTTATTTTTTACGTAGGCAAATTGTGCACAATTACTGCACTGAAAAAAGGATTTCATACAGAAAGCTAGCAAAACGGTTTAAACTCAGTGTAAGAAATATTATAATAAATATCAATGAAACTTGTTCTCCTAAAGACGTATCAAAAAGTGGGCGAAAAAATGCTCTAGTGATGCAAGTCTTAAAGCAAAAGTGTTGGCCTTAATAATAAATGGACTCAAGAACATTACCAGGGCCCAATTACACTCCTTATATGCTTTAATTTTTAATAACTTGTTTATTTATTTAATGCATTATTTCCAAACCTGAAGTTAACAAAATTTAATTTGGATTGGTTTGCATTAATCATGTATTTCTAATCAGGAAAATTGAATATTTTGAAAACGGTATTCCTTTTTTAATACGCTTTTATTTTAGTTATGTACAGTATTTAACACTTTCAATGAAATTGAACAAATAATCTACTGTGTACTGTATGTGCACAGTCCCCTACTCCAAAATGACACCGTGTTATAAATAGCCACAGGCATAAATGAAGCTTTATTAGAAAATTTTTTACTTTTCCAGATAGTCTGTCGTTAGGCGTAATATATGAATACATTAAAATATAATACGTTAAAATTAAGCAATGAGCGGATGTGAGCGAACCTATTAGGAACGGAACCTGATTGAAGCATTTGTAAGTAGCTTGTAATAACTTTCAAAACTGGTTATTAATTTTCATATCCAGAAAAGTTTCGTCAAAATACACCGATAACGCATTTACAATTTTAAATTAGCAAACAAGAAACAAATAGCATAGTAGCCAGTTTTAAGGGCTTTGCATCAACCAAATAGTAAAATATTACGTTTTTTTTCAAAAATTCATATACATACATACATACCATTAAAAAAGGTATTTGTTAGAGAGTGAGTTTATTATTGATATCTTGTACAGGTAAATAATTTATAAGTAATCGAATTAATAATTTGTAATATTTGGATAACAATATTGCGAATATTTACTCTATCACAGACTACAAATCCCCTCTAACTTGCTATGAAATTATTAGCAAGTGACGTAATTTTCATACTCTCTCAATATGTTATTCACAAGTATAATAGTTTTGTTCTCTTGGCGGATGCTAGTAACACTAAAAATTAATTACTTTCCTAAATCTTGCGTCGGACTTGTCACGACCGCACAGAACATTAAAGCTTTTTGAAACATTTCAACTGTAATTCTAATACACCATTTTAATAACACAGTTTTTAGACAAGTTCATTTTTTTTCAAATGCTTATTTACTTTTACTTTTCTATCCACAAGAACAAGTAAAAGTTGTGATAATATAAATAAGTACATACATATTCCCAACAAGTCCTTTTTAATATTTTTAGCTCACCTTATATACATGAATTTCCTGTAGCACAATTTCTGATTCCTTTAAGACACGTTCAACTTCTTCGAAAACCTCACGCTCTGTGTCTGTTGGTGCGGCATTCTCAAAGTCTAAGAATACATCGTAGGATTTTGCAGCACAGCAGTTTGAATCATCACGCGACAGTAAACTCAGCAGCTTTCCCATTTTCTTTGTTAATTAATGATTTCAAATTTTAGTTTTATAAGACACTGTTCCGCTCTTTTTAAAACTGTTTTTTAGTTATTTACTTTTATTTAATCAATTGTCTACCCTTGATATTCTATAACACTGAATACATTATTAATAATTATAAAACTATAAATAAACCCCCTTTCTTAAGTTTTGCAAGTAC